ATAGTTGACGAATTGAGTGGGGTCCAGTGATGGTTTTTTCAACAGCGGTTTTATTGCAGCTTGTTTTAAGCTGGCTGGAATATTGCCTTCCCGAAGGGAAGGGCATTAACCACCACCTTCACCCACCCGGCCAATCCCCCTCTGGCCTCCTTTAGAAGCCAGGATGGGCAGGGGTCTAGGATGCATGTGGTAGGCCTCATTCCTCCAAGTATCTTGTCCACATCCTCGGGTTTCACCAATTGAAATGAATCCATCAAAATCAGACAAGCAGGTGCTCGTGTTACATCCTCAGAGACCGCCGTTAACATGGTGTCCAGGCCAGAACGGATCAAAGCGACTTTGTCCGCAAAGAACCGAGCAAACGCTTCACAGTGGGCCGTCGAGTTGTCAGGGTTCCCATCTGGAATTGTGGGATTTAATAGGCCTCTGACAACTCGAAACAACTCAGCCGGACGGTTCTTTGCGGACCCAATATTGGCTGCAAAGAAAGATTTCTTTGCAGCCTTTATTGCCACGGCATATGCCCTTAGAAGGGCAACAAACCGTGTTCGATTTGGCTCGCTCGGGTCCGAACGCCACACACGCTCTAGTCTCCTCTTCCTTCGCTTCATCACTGCCAGCTCCTCGTTGAACCAAGGAGCTGGTTTAGCTTGTCTACTTGAGAGGGGACGTTCCGGAGCAATCATGTCTATTGCCCTAGTCATCTTCCAGAGGGACAACAGGGCATCAACAGGATCACCAACCGAGGTGGCGGGAAAATCCCCATCAGGAATCCATCCGGATCCATAAGTCTCCTAGGGCAGACCTTCTTAATGGGTCCTCCACCCCTGCAGAAGTTATGGGGTGCAGTGAGTCTAAACCTGATCAGGTGATGGTCGGTCCATGGCAACGGAGTAATAGATAACTCCTCAATACCACCACTGTCCTCCCATCCCTGGCAGAAAACCAAATCAAAAGTGTGTCCTACACTGTGAGTAGGGCCAGATACCATTTGGGACAGCCCCATGGTTGCCATGGAAGACATGAAGTCCTGAGCCGCTCCTGTTAGGGTGGCCTCGGCATGGATGTTGAAGTCCCCCAGCACAATAAGCCGTTGAGACTCCAACGCCAGTTTTAGTAGCTATTACTCTTTCACTGAAGTAAATGAAATATAGATGTAAAACTATTTTCTCTAGTAAACAGGAACAGAAATTTCCTTTTCTTTTTCCAGGTTGTTTGCAAGTAAATATTCAATTCCACTAAACAGGCAATGACAGAAGAAAAGGGGTAGCTTTGGGGTAGAAGCATTCAAATCAAGTTCATAGTTTACTACCTAATAGATCTCTTAGTTCTGCTTTGCTACATGTAAGTGTAGGCCGTTTTTGTTCTCTTTCCTTTCACTTTCTAGCAACAAACATTGTAATGCTTTTGAAGGCCTTAAACACCATTTTTCCGTTATCATGGATGAAGCCAGTGGAATAAAGTTGACAGATTATTTAATGTACTGGAGAGATGAATTCAAACCCCAACACTGATGTGAAGCCTCCTGAATAGCCTTGAGCATGCAATCACTGTTTCTCACAGGAGGTTTGTCACCTGGATGCACATTATAACATCCTTTTTCCCATGGGCTGAGAGAGGACAAACATCCAGAGCTAGTTGGAAAGCAACAAATGGGCCAATAAATGGGCAGCAGCTCCAAAAAAGTGCTGAGAAATTTCCTTTGTGACTTGTTCATACTCAGAGATTTCATTCAACAAATAAGACTGAATATATTTGGAATCCCAAATTCATAGGAGAAATTCAGGTGGGGTATTTTGCAAACATCCCTGTTCACTGTAACTTAAAGTCTGTCAAATACTTTCCTTCGTTTTAGTGTACAAAGAAAGAGAAGGGAGCTATTTCCAAAAGAGACACAGAAACAGATTTTTAAATCAATTTTACAACTGGTAGCAAATGAAAAGAAAAGTAGGAAATATTGTTGCTAAAACCCAGTGCTGATCTTTTCATGCAGGAGAGAAATTAATCACAAGGCAGCTTTGTCCTCACATTTCCATATATTATAACTGGGGTTGCTGCCAACCTTTCCAACTGTCACAAAATAGGCCTGCTTCCAAGAAGCAGAAGTGAACACTGGGCAGATCTTCAAGTGCACAGCTTTCGTAACCATTTCAGACATGCGTGTCACTGGTGCTTAGTCACTGTGCATGGAAGGTCCTGTTAAAGATTCTAATAAAAGCATTCAGCCAGGTGCAGAAAACAAATTTATACTGAAGGATTATTAGCAAGATTGGTATTTAGCAACCTGAGCCTATTCTTTGATGTGTATGTCTTGCTTTCCCTTGAGCTCGGTGTGGGTGTATTGTATGTTCCTGTGGAGAAAATCGTGAATTTCTCTTCTCTTAACATTGCCCAAAGGTAATGGGAAGTGTTATCTGTGTGTTTGAGAGAGTTTGAAAGAGAGAGTGTTTAATCATTTAGGCAGAAGGAATTAGTGGGCACGTTATCAGTTTTCTTCCATGTTTAGAGATGTGGAAAAGGAACAGCAGTCTTTGTGGAGAAAATGCATTTATTATTATAAATTTCTACTGAAATAAAAAGATGCTCTAGTTAAGCACAAAAATGGATCACAGCTTCTGGGAGAAATGAAAAACTAGCTCAGTTCAGTATTAACTCTCTCTAGAGCTGTTTGCTTATGGTGTTTCCATAACCAAGAGTCCTTCAACCTCATACTACAGAATCATTGCCCACTTTCGCCATCGTTCCCTAAAATATGTAATAAAAATGGTTGTGTGCCCATTAATTCCTTCTGCCTAAATGTTGAAGACATTTATTATAATGGTATAATAATGGTATTATACGATTATTTATTTAGGTCATCATTGGAGCCTTTAAGCAATGCAGAACTTCTTTCTCCTACTGAAGGTTGTATTTTTGTTGCTATTATCTCAGCTTGCAGGCAGCTTGCAGGCAGTATGTGTTAAGTTTTTTTTTCTGCCTGAAATGAATTGTGACTTTTTCTCAAGCTCATTGGACCTCAGACTTGGCCCATATTTCTGTTCCTAAGGTGAATTTGAGCTTGACTTTTAATCATACTGTTGATGTGATTCAGCTTTCTTCCTGTCTTGAGCCTCGTGTACAGAAGGGCAAAGACTACGTAAGCTGGATGTATGCAAAGCACTCAAGTTGTACTTAAACTGTATAGTGTCCTTTTAAAAAAACGGTGACCTTAGAATAGCATATATCTACAGCTACTCTGTCTCAGTGGACAAAACAGTATAGTTATTTTTACTGGAGGGCTGTATCTCCTGCTGTTTCAAGGCTTCGAGGTCCATTCCATTAAGCATTTCCAGACACCATTTCCCTTGACAAAACAACAACATGGTATATTGTTTTGTAGAAACCTGTGCTCTGTAAAAGTGTTGCAATGTATGTCCCTAGAATTCCAATATGAATTCTGATAGTTCTTTATATATTGAATATACCGTGAGCCCTTGGCATTCACTGGGGGTTGGTTCCAGAACCCTCCATAGAGAGTAAACTCCATGAATTGTAAAATCCCATTATATACAAAGGTATGGTAAAATGAGATCACTTATATAAAATGACAAATTAAAGGTTTGCTTTTTGGATTTTTTTTTCTTTTGGGGAAGGTAATATGTTCAAGTTGTGGATAAGTGAATCTATGAATACAGAATCCATGGATATGGAAGGCTGATTATATACTTAATGGTTTGTGAATCTCAGAACATAAAGTACTTTGTGAGCATAAGATATAAACATAATTTGTGTTTGGCTGATGTTGTGTGTTCCATTTCCAAGTGGCATATGCATCTACCATGAATAAATAGGTTCGAAATTTTGCTAAACTTCAAAATTCTGCCAAGGATGATACATTTACTAAGCATCATTATATGGTTTAAAGAATTCATTTTAATTTTAATTTAAAGCATGCAGATGTAATCTTCTACAGTATTTCTTTGCCTTATTATACCTCAAGGCAGTTCCTTCCTCAGACTTAGCAACAAAGGCATTTTGATAGTACAGGTATTGTCACCAATATCTAATAGATTTGCTAATATATGTTAGAAATAGTCACAAAATGTGTGCATTGTGTGATATGTAACTTGCTTGCAGAATATTTGTGAAGAGCAGATACATGTCTGGAATGTGTGCTCGCTTTACAAAATACTTCAACATCAACAGTTCTAATGTATTTCAGTTTGTTGCTCAAGGAATTTGACATTTTTGTGTTCTATAGTTTGTTTCACAGCAAAATATTTGGAATCTTGCATATTTATTTAGTTAAATACAGCTAACATATCATGCGAATTTGCACAAAAGTTGTGTTCAACACAAACAATCACAAAGATTATGCATCGGGCCACCAAAATTATCATCATATATTTTCTACAAAGAAATATTGTCCAAATCATAACAGTGATGGTTAAAGCAATTATACTTCTTGGATATCTGTAAATCCTAGTTTTCAGAGTCATCAAGTGAACTGGTAAACCTGTTCATGGATGGTATCATTTCAACTTGTAGATCTGTTTCATATGCATAAAAGGAAGCAATGAAAATAGAAGGCAGGGAGAAGGTTTATGAGCAGCTATTTCCCCAAATGCAGACTTTTCTACAAGGAGGGGGGGGGGGGTTTCCTGTGAAGGAGCATTTCATCAGAATACAGTTGAGTCTGTCAACTCATTGTAAAGAAGGCTTCAGTTCATGTGGACAAATTATATTTGTCCACATGAGCAACTAACCAGACATGTTTGGCATTGCTTGCACTGGTAAGATGAGATTACTTTACACTGACTTACAAAAAAAATCCAATAATGTAAAAATTATTATGAAAAAAGTGCAGATTGTTGTAATGTCAGCCAAATCGATGGATAGCATTCCTGTTCATTTACAAGTGAGGGTTAGTATAACAACCATCAATATCTGTTGCTTTACCAGAGTTTCAGAAGACTGAACAAAATCTATAAATGTAAACCTTTGTATGTATTCCTTTCTAGAATTACAACAACTGCTGCATGCATGATGGACCTGCGAAGATATCCATTGGATGAACAGAACTGCACTCTAGAGATAGAGAGTTGTAAGTACTTTTGAAAATTGACCTTCTGTGCATTCAAACCTCTTCCCCCCACGCATTACAACTCTCCTTATATCTCTGCCCAAAGCCATTTGGTTTTTTCAAATACATTCAGAAAAAAACCCATTCAAATTTAGTTCTCCAAGAGGATGATAAGATAAATTTATTTTGTACGCTTGCTGGACATTTTTTTGTTTTAAAACTAATATGCCTTTTGCATTTTTTTATGAGTATGAGGATTATTGCCAAATTTTATCCTTATCTGCTACAGAACCGAATTGCTATTTGTTTCCATTTTTTAAGATGAAGGTTTAGATTTGTCATTGAATCGGTTGTGTGCATTATACCTTTGCAAATGCTATGTAAATATTGTGTGTGTTTATTTTAATTATGATTTTTATCTTGTAAAGATTCATGGTGTTTGATCTCTTATAGTGTTTACACTGTAGATGCTGCATTTTCTTTACTAGTGCATAAAACATTTATTGTAGCTTTGTAAATATTGCATGCAGTGAATTAACTGACACCTTTAGTTGCTTGGCTAAATTTGGTGAAGTCATTTTGCAGAAGGAAAGGGTGCAGAATGGCCTTAAAGGGTTCTCTGTATGTGTTTTGCCCTTTATATAAAACCAGCAGCTTATGTCCAACCTGCTGTTGCTCCAGATCCAACAGCTCCTCTTGGTTAAGGTGAGTAAATACGTCACACCTCATACTGTGTGCACACATGGCCCTGAATCACAGGTCCTTATGGAGGAGGTGGGGGGGGGGGGGGGCTGTCGTGATATCATTCATTTAAAAGCCGAATGATACTGCAATCAAAGAAAATGATGTGTACCCAAAATTAGAAATATTTACTGCATGCAGATGAAAGATGTTATGAAACATCAGTATACTGACCAGAGCTCTGCAGCTGACTGTGCATGAAAGAGAGCAGTTATATAACAGTCCCAAAGGCTCCAGATCCCCAATGATCATGCAAGCTAAGCAGGTTCAACCCTGGTTAGTACTTGGCTGGGAGACTGCTATGTGCTATATTTTGGAGGAAGGAACTGATAAAACCACCACTGAATCTTGCCTAAGTTAACTTGAAGGCATGTACATGTACCCATAAAAAGTAATTTTGCTAGTGGAGATATATGGAGCTATACTCATAGCAGTGCTTGCACACTTTTTCAGAAGTATCTTATAAAAATCATTCATTAAAACAGTTTGAGTTTTTTCCTTGCTCAATAAAGGCTCAGGTTTTATACAGTGCTCCATACTGAATGTCACAAACACCTTTACACTGGACTTTCCTTCTGCTCTATTTGTGTATTTCTACAATACAGCATTCCCAAGAGTACAGCAACTACTTCTCACCTGTGCAAAATTACAGTTGTAATCTTGGATGCAATATACCATATAGACTCGTGTATAAGTCAACCTCATGTATAAGTTAAGGGCGGGTTTGGGAGCAAAACTATGGGCCATTCCACAGAGAGAGGAAAGCACCAATCCTGCCTCAGGGGACCTGCCTGCCCAGATATTAGAACAGTCAGAAGCAGCTCCTTAGTGGAGAGATTAGAGTGGGTTGGCACTTGTATCAGTTTTTCCTGGGATAGACTAAACTCTTGTCTTTTGCAACTCTACTCAAAGAAGAGGATGGTTCCTTTTTGATAAGAGTTAAGGTACAGTACAGTATTGACCAGGTGTCTGAGGTTGGTTATTGAACAAAAATTTCTAGACTTACAAATGAGTATATATGGTACCTCAAGTTACTTTTCTTCCATGTGATTACTGCATATGGGATTCTATGGACTTCCTAAAGGAAGTTAATCTGCTCAACAATTGTGGCAGAGGTTTGTATAGGAAGCACTGGTTTTTATGGATTTTATTTTTTATCTGCAAATGCACCACGTGTGTTTCTGCACAGCCAGATTTTCCTGAAGGACATCCTGCACAGTGAATCATGGTTGAAAACTGCACAAATATGCTGTGCATTCTTGGCTTTCAATTTGCTGACATTGATTGTTCTTGTATGTGATCATGACATTAGTGGAGATTTACACCTTAGTATTTGCATCCTTCAGCAGGGAGCAGTTACTGAACATCTGGATCATGAATTGAAGGAATGAAGCAGCAGCCATGCCAATTATGTCTTGTGGACCAACCGGCTAATTAGACTCCACAAATGGAATGGCACAGTCTTACTTTAGGCATTCCTCTTTTTGTTTTTCAGATTTTTAAAATTAAGAATGGAATGACTTGATGGTAGCCCGAGGATAATGGTCCTCCAAGTGTAGTGTCTTAGTACTGGGTCCGTAGGTGGCTGTGAAGCCCTATTCTTGACCCGCAAATGACATTCTGTAATCCATATTGTTTTTAAGTTTGCTTCATTTAAATTAAAACAGTTGCACATGGTACAAGAAGGATCCATGCAAGCCTTAAAGGGGGGATATGAATGAAGAACCTTACTTCTACCACATGTTCTCCTGCAGTGAGGACATTGGTTTCCAAATGGAAGGGCGTCCTGGTCAGGGTTGGCTTGATGCACCTTCCTCTTGGCACATTTCTCCCTTTCGTCCTCCATTCGTATCTCTTCAAATTCTGCAGCATTGCTGGTCACAGCTGACCTCCAGTTAGAGCACTTAAGGGCCAGGGCTTCCCAGTTCTCGCTGTCTATGCCATAGTTTTAAAGATTGCCTTTAAGCCCATCTTTAAATCTCTTTTCCTTTCCACCAACATTATGTTTCCCATTCTTGAGTTAGGAGTATAGTAACTTGATGGTATTTACTATGTGTAAATTATATTTTATATGTCTCAATTAAGTCCTGGCACTGAGGGGTACAATGATATGTACACATTTTTTAAAAGCCTCAATGAAATCCAATATGTTTGTGAGTGGTGATACCACTCACAAACATATCAGATTCCAAATTAAAAATCAATGCTAAATTAGATTACATTTAGTCATCAGTAGTTCTTTGTAGCTAGTTATACCCATCCACCTTTTTATTTATATTCCACCTTTTTTTTAAGATTAAGACGCAAGACAGCTTGCCAAAGGCAGAAAATTATAGGAAAGGCACCTAGAGATAAATTTATACAAAAGTTGAGATTTAAACAGTTTTAAACTAACAGAAAATTGAAAACATTTAAAATATTACTTTCAATCTCACCCAAAAATTCCTCAAGTGTCCCTGAAGATTATTTGGGGAGTAACTGAAATAAATTATTTTCACCCTGTGGTATGTTCTTTTATCAATCATTAATCAGTCACCGTTGGTTCATTTTACTGCCTGAGGGTGATGGTCCCCCTTCCTCAAACCAGAGACAGGATTCCCTTCTTCCCAGGTTGTGTCTTACTCAGTATTTTTTAAAAATCCATGGAAATATCAGTTATATTGATAAGAAGTTGCTCATATAAATGGCTGTGCCAGTCAAACAAAAAATATAGTGCATATTGAATCTTTACATTCTATTTTAAACATGAGTCCTTTTTAAAAGTAAAAAATCTGAACTGTCTTTTATCCCAAATGGAATTTTTGTTTTGTAATAGCGTAACTTGCAAGATGCTTAGGCTTTATTGCTGCCACTTTTTATTTTGAGGTTTTGATTGACGCTCCAAAATTTTATCCAGTAGCTCAATAGTACTCAAAGTTGTTGTTCCTGGTCGTATGCCAGTCCCTAAGCCATTGGCAAATTTTCAGGAAAGAAAGAAAGAATTGTGCCCAATGCGCACAAATTTAGTGCTGGCTCATGGCATGCTGGAAAATAATAATTGCCAGTTCTATACATAAGATAGCACGAGAAGCACTGCAGTACAGAACATCAGGTTTAGAATGAGACGTTTTAGAAAAATACATTTCAAGATAATATTGGTTCCTGTTCTCTTTGACATTTTCAGATCTATGCAAATGACATTCTGTAATCCATATTGTTTTTGAGTTTGCTTCATTTAAATTTAAACAGTTGCACATGGTACAAGAAGGATCCATGCAAGCCTTAAAAGGGGGGGGGGGATATGAATGAAGAAACTTACTTCTACCATAGATGGTGCACAGAGGAATTGCCCACATAATCTAAGAGAGATGACTAACATGTTATTCATCTGTTTAAGTAATTTTATATTCTATTTTCCATGTACAATCAATCCAGTTTTTTTACACATTGCAATAACAAAATGTTTCTCTCTCTCAAAAAAAAAAAAAACCAGAGGCTGAGATCCTACATAGTACATATGGATATGATGTCATCTGTTACCTGAGCTGACCTCCTAAAAATCACCTTAAAAGCTGGATAGCTGTGCTGAGAAAAGGGTTTGGTGATGCTGGAAAGTAGGGTACTGAGGAATGATGTACCTACGTGCCTACCCTCCAACGAGTTGTGGTGCAATGAACAGAACCAGTCACTTGTGTAGGGTCCTCTCACAACTCCTCATTGGTTCACTATAGGAGGGAGCTGGAAGCATCATCCTTCAATATGCTGCTCACCAGCATTACGGCGTTCTTTTGTTCTCTAAAGCTGCTTGGCTTTTAAGGTGGGTTGTAGGGACGTTAGTTGCTGTGTCAATAGTGCTGCAATGCGAATACACAATAGTTGTAAGTCTAGCTTTTAGTATCATAACTATCAACAGTTAGGCAATAATACAGGAAAATGGAGAGGTAAATTTGACTTGAGTTGTTACAATGTGAGGGATGAAACAATTCAGATACTGTAAAACAGAGGTGGGCAAAGTGAAGTTTGTGGGCTGCATATGAGCCCCAAGAACTGTTTTGTGGCCTTCAGGGGGCCTCAAAGTAAGAGAAATGTAGAAAAGACTTACCTCAAATGAGTGTGGAGGGCTAACTGTGGGATGGACAGAAGAGCATCAGATGGATCCATATTTAGTTGGAAGCCATACTCAAAGTGTGGTTATCAGTGGCTAAGCTGTACTTCAGACTGGAATGATATCTTAAGTGGAATTCTGAAGAGTTAAAAAGTATTAGAAAATTGGGATAGAATTAATAAAATTGAAATGGTAC